TAGGGTTCAGTTTAGACAGGTTTCTGGATTACACAAGATCCAGTTTAGCCAAGTTTCTAGTTTACACATGGTTCAGTTTAGTCAGGTTTCTAGTTTAGACAGGGTTCAGTTTAGACAGGTTTCTAGTTTACACATGGTTCAGTTTAGACAGGTTTCTAGTTTAGAGAGGGTTCAGTTTAGAGAGGGTTCAGTTTAGATAGGGTTCAGTTTAGACAGGTTTCTAGTTTACACAGGGTTCAGAATAGGTTTCTGGTTTATACAGGTTTCATTTTAGACAGATTCCTGGTCTATACAAGTTTTTATTTTAGACATGATACTGATTTACAGACTCATTGACTTTATGTGAATTCTCCTGTTTAGTTACAATTTTATCAATTGTAAACATAACACGAATTGGTGACTTGTTTACATCCTGGCTCATTATCAACACTGCATGCTCTCAAAATATTCATGAAGCTTGATGACGTGCTTTCCAATACTTCCGAAGAAACACAAATACTATAAATACAACTGGCAAAGACTCACATACCAGCATTAGAGACTTGGTAAATGAAAGAACCGCTTCAATCTACACCGTATTGAATATGACGTCTGACTAAAATGTTCGTCTTCTAAAGTTACACCGCAAACATATTTCTGGCTGGACAACTATGTATGACAGCATGCCAGTGCCTTCAGCTGTGTAACTTATAAACGGATGTTTTGCTAGCCCTGTAAGAGTTATGAACTCGGTGGGTTTTGCCATTCCAAATAAATCCACTTTTATTTTGCATTCCAGCAACCAGTTATTTATTGAGGAAATCAATGTTGATATCTAAATTATTTATATAGAATTTCATGACACAGCAAGGGTGGTTAGGCCCTATCCACGTTAAGTTCAATCATTCCATCCATCCCCAACTCCAAGGTTCCATGATATCGTGGCATAGTTATAGCCATACCACACATCGATTTTGATTTTACTTGAAACTTGCTGGGCAGTCAGCATCCATGCATTTTGAAAACTGCAAAAACCACACATTGCTCAGTGACATCCCCAAGTTGAGCAGTGACAACCCCAAGTTGCACAGTGACATCCCCAAGTTGCACAGTGAAATCACCAAGTTGCGCAGTGACAACCCCAAGTTGCGCAGTGACAACCCCAAGTTGCACAGTGACATCACCAAGTTGCGCAGTGAGATCACCAAGTTGCGCAGTGAGATCACCAAGTTGCGCAGTGAGATCACCAAGTTGTGCAATGACATCACCAAGTTGCGCAGTGACATCACCAAGTTGCGCAGTGACATCACCAAGTTGCGCAGTGACATCACCAAGTTGCGCAGTGACATCACCAAGTTGCGCAGTGACATCACCAAGTTGCGCAGTGACATCACCAAGTTGCGCAGTGACATCAAGTTGTGCAGTGACATCAAGTTGCGCAGTGACATCAAGTTGCGCAGTGACATCACCAAGTTGCACAGTGACATCACCAAGTTGCACAGTGACATCACCAAGTTGCACAGTGACATCACCAAGTTGCTCAGTGACATCACCAAATTGTGCAGTGAGATCACCAAGTTGCACAGTGAGATCACCAAGTTGCGCAGTGATATCACCAAGTTGCGCAGTGACATCACCAAATTGCGCAGCGACATCACCAAATTGCGCAGTGACATCACCAAATTGCGCAGTGACATCACCAAATTGCGCAGTGACATCACCAAATTGCGCAGTGACATCACCAAATTGCGCAGTGACATCACCAAATTGAGCAATGACACCATCAAACTGCGCAATGACACCACCAAATTGCGCAGTGACACCACCAAATTGCGCAGTGACACCACCAAATTGCGCAGTGACACCACCAAATTGCGCAGTGACACCACCAAATTGCGCAGTGACACCACCAAATTGCGCAGTGACACCACCAAATTGTGCAGTGACACCACCAAATTGCGCAGTGACACCACCAAATTGCGCAGTGACACCACCAAATTGCGCAGTGACACCACCAAATTGCGCAGTGACATCACCAAATAGTGCAGTGACATCACCAAATAGTGCAGTGACATCACCAAATTGTGCAGTGACATCACCAAAACATCACCAAATAGTGCAGTGACATCACCAAAACATCACCAAATAGTGCAGTGACATCATCAAATTGCGTAGTGACATCACCAAAACATCACCAAATAGTGCAGTGACTCACCAAATTGCACAGTGACATCACCAAAACATCACCAAATTGCACAGTGACATCATCAAATATGCATGACATCATCAAATAGTGCAGTGACATCACCAAATTGCGCAGTGACATCACCAAATTTTTATACATGTTACAGTCAAGCACTGTCATTCAAATTTATTTTCTTGGAAAATTAAATTTGTTGAGTGTGAAAGGATAGCAATTTGTTCCTATTCTTATGC